AAAAAAGAGATGGAGAAGGGAAAGGGGGAGGGAGGGAGGAAGGAAGAGGGGAGGGAGAAGGGAGAAGGGAGGAGAGGAAGGGAAGAGGGGGGAGGGAGGAGGAGAAGGGAGGGAGGGAGGAAGGGAGAAGGGGGAGGGAGGGAGGAGAAGGGGAGGAGAGGGAGAAGGGGGAGGGAGGGAGGAGGGAAGGGAGAGGAGGAGGAAGGGAAGGGAGAGGAGGGGGGAGGAGGGGAAGAGTGGGGAGGGAGGAGGGAGGAGAAGGGAGGAGAGGGAGAAGGGGAGAAGGAGGGAGGAGGGAGGGAGGAAGGGAGGAGAGGGGGGAGGGAGGAGGGAGGAGAGGGAGAGGAGGGAGGAAGGGAAGGGGAGGGAGGAGGAGGAAGAGGGGGAGGGAGGGAGGAGGGAGAAGGGAGGGAAGGGAGGAAATGGGAAAGGGAGAGGCAGAGGAGCGAGCCGCGTGAGTGCCGGGGAGGGCGCCCCCGAGCGGGGAGACAGCACACGCAACACTGCGGCGGGAGCTAAGCTTCACGCAGACGCCGGGGTGGAGAGAATGAGAAACACCTGGACTGGCGTCCCAATCTGTGCCCTCTGCTCACCTGCAGAGTAACCTGCAGGAACGAGGCGCACGACCCGCCCCGAACCTCCGTGCTTCCCCTGCACACCAGAGGGCTGCCGCCGCCGAGCCCCGGGGGGCTGGACAGGCCGCGGCCGCCCCCTTGGCAAACGCGGGCCCACAGGCGCCGCGGGGACCCCAGGGACGGGCGCGCGGACACGACCCTGGCGTGACGCCACACGGACGCGGGACCATGCCGAAGGGATGCGGCCGCGGGCTGCCGGCGGGCGCGGGAAGGGCCGTGCCGCCCCGCTAAGCGCGGGCATTCGCTGGATGAACTGGAAAGTTCCGCTCCGAGCCCTTCGGGTCCCTCGCGGGTTTTGCCCTCTACACTGACACCCGGCTCCTGAGAACACAGCTTTCCTGTCAAGAATCCCTTCCCAACATGCAGTCTCGCGGGAAAAGCCTTGACACTGAGCCACCGCACGCTAAACGGATTCCCTCAGGGGATCGTAAATGAACCGTCTGGGGCCGCGCACGCGCGAGCTCCTCAAGAGCAGCGCCGCCTCACGGCCAGGCGCGCCGCCGCCCGCGCTTTATAAAGCTGAGATGACGTCACCCCGCCGCGCGCGCGAGAAAAAAGATGGCGGCACGGCACCGCCCAGGCGCCGGCGTCAGCGGCGTCACCGGCGCCTTCCCGGAAGGACCGAGAGGCTGACTCGGCGAGGAGGGCCGGCGCGGCTGCCGCGACTGTCCCGCGGCCTCGCGGCGCGTGGTGGGAGGAACCTGCAGGTCGCGGTGAAGAGCCGGGGTGATGAGAGGTCACGAGCCCTGCAGGTACCGCGGAGCCGGGCGGCCGGAGGGCGGGGACGCGGACCGTCGGCGGGCCTTCGGGTCCCGGGACCCGTCCGCCGCGCCGCTGGCGAGCCCCGCGGGAAGGTTCCCGGGCCGACCTTCCGGGACTGCCGCGCTGCCGGATGGCCCCGCCGCAAAGCGAAAGCGACGGGACGGCGGCGAGGCTGGCTCGCCGCGATCTTTTGGGGGATTACCTGACCCTTAGAGCGTCGGGGCGAGCCCGGTGCGTCGCTGTCCGCGGTGCTGACGACGGGCCCGCCGCGCCCGAGCGGAGAGCGGATGAGGGCAGGGCGGTGTCCCCGCTCCCCCCGGCGGGGTCAGCGCCCACGCACTCAGGAGGTCCCCCGGCGGGGGCCAGCGCCCCGATCAGGAGGGTCCCCCGGCGGGGGTCAGCACCCCACACAGTAGGGGTCCCCCGGCGGGGTCAGCGCCCCGCACTCAGGAGGGCTCCCCGGCGGGGCAGCTTCCTTCCTCCCTCCTCTTCCCTCCCTCCCTCCCTCCCTCCTCCATCTTCCCTTTCTCCCTCCTTCCTCCCTCTCTCCTTTCCTTCCTTTCTTCCTCCCTCCTCTTCCTCCCTCCTTCCTTTCCTTCCTTTCCTTCCTTCCTTCCTCCCTCCTCCCTCTTCCCTTCCTCCCTCCTCCCTCTTCCCTTCCTCCCTCCTCCCTCTTCTCTTCCTCCCTCCCCTCTTCCCTTCCTCCCTCCTCCCTCTTCTCTTCCTCTCTCCTCTCTTCCTTTCCTCCTCCCTCTTCCCTTCCTCCCTCCCTCCTTTCCTTCCTTTCCTTCCTTCCTTCCTCCCTCTCTCCCTCTTCCCTTCCTCCCTCCTCTCTTCCCTTCCTCCCTCCCTCCT